AAGCGCTGGACTTGTGATTTAGCCAGGAACCCAACACCACTAGCATAAGCGGTCACTTTGTTTCGTTACATTCCATCTTGCGTACGAGTATAGTATAATCATTATTAGTCCATCCATTTAATTTACTCCATTATATAAGTAGTCAATTATTTAATATAGTTTTCTTTAAATAATGGTTAAGGTAATATTTTTTTATTTTATATAGAGTGCGAGACTCAGTTTTAAGTGAAACGGTCGATTGTGCTTTTAGAAGATTTTAGTGTTACAATGCACGCTCTATGAAACAAGTGTTTAATTTATAGTAAACCGCATTTAGTAACAAATAATTTACTTAAAGTACAATGATTTTTAATTTTTTAAATGTTTAATTTTGTTTGGTAATCTTTTTTGTTAATAGAGTTCAGTTAGGGTAAGCTTTCCTTTCATCGCAGTAATTACAATTTTAGGTCGTATAAAAAGAGAAATGAATTTCATTCATTGGACGCCTGGGGTCAGGGTGACAACGACACTTGTCAAAATTGTGTAAACAACAGGGAGATGTAAGGCTACTCGTAGGATTAAGACATTCTTATAATACTTGTCATAACTCTGAGCACAAGACTGGACGCATGGACGATTTTTAAAGAGTTGTGTTGGTTTTTGTTGTAAATTATTTTATTGTTAATCATTTATGGAGACACGAGTTTCGTTGAATTTTCACTTTGATCCGACGACGGGGTTTAAAGTCATAGGTTTTGTGGAAATGGTTGACTCCAAGTATGGACAAGGCGCATAAGTAGACGGGGACCAAAGGATCTCTCAGGTAGACCAGGGAATGCCCAGGGTGGGACGACTGGTCCGGGTGGCCAGGGGAACGAGAGCCCTGGAGGATGAAGTAGAATGAACAATCAATATAAAACAAATGTTAAAGTAGATCCTTTAGTTAGAATTCATTAAAATTTTCCTAAAGGCAATGATATGGATTTGTTAACTATCCTTAACACAGGTAGCAGATTTTGACCTTGCTCTGGGATTTTCCATCCTCCAACAAACCGAGAGTTATGCCTATGCTTCCGCCAGGTTGTTACCTGTCTTTTCCCAGGTCTGATTTGTTCATCTGTCCAGTTGATCCACCCACTTGTGAACTCCAATCTGTGAAGACCAAGGTGGGAGGCACGTTACACAAAGTCATCTTCCCCCCCCCCCACCAGACGCAGTAACTCGTAAATTGTTTATGTAGGGTGAGTGACATTACACTAGTCACTCGACCGACACCTCACGCCACTAACGAGGTTGTCTAGGCCAGCATGTTATCTACAATGACGCAGTCACCGGATGTAAACGTCTTACACTATCCTGGATAGCTGTCTCGACGTCACCGCCCCCCACCAGCTGCGTCGTCAAGACTGCAGGCAGACAGGAAGTGGAGTTTGAGAGGTCAAGAGAGGGAGCCAGCCAGTAGCAGTACTTATCATTCTCATCTATAGATACGTGGTTCTGTCGTCGGTTCTAACGGACAAGCAAAAAAGGCGGTCATAAGGCAAACGGCACGGTCCCTATAGAGTATAGCTGAATCGCCATAGACAAGGGGCAAAAGTTACCTCCTATGGCCCAAGTTCGATTCTACGAGAATAGACACAAATCGTGTTGATGGCTTAGTAGTCTTGTGACATCAACAAATGCCTGGGATACCATGAACCATCAGAAACGTCATGTTTAATTGGGTTTAAAACAAGGTTTCTTAATTGACTTCACTGGAGGGGGGAGGGGGTTGTAACAGTCGAAGCTGTTTAAGAAAGATTGCTGTATTGAAGGTAGTGTGGATACACCCTTGTAAAAACATGCAGTGGAGTGGTAGTTATGCCTTGGAAAGTTGGAAAGGGTTCATCTCAGGAGATTAGAGCAGAGATGTGTAAGCAAGGATCACCAGCTTCTCCTTGTGGTTGAATTATCCTTTATGAGTAACTCAAGTATTAAAGTAACTGTAATTAATAACTTCTGTTGTCAAGTACTTTGATTAATTTAACGTCAGTTATGAATAAAGAATCAAATCCTCTTCTTTCGTTCAAGGGCAGATGACTCGGGCAGAACTGGCAACACCAGTCTTAAGTCTCAGCCTCTTGCTGAGACTAGCAAGAGGCTGGTCTCACCCCCCCACCCCCCCCCCCCCTTCCACCTTCAACCTCCCTCTACTCCAAGACTCCATCTTACTTGTGTAAAGGAGGAAATGTATATGTTTATCTCTCAGAATGTTCGGTAATATGTTTATTGCTTGTGATGTGTGTCGTTGAAGGTATTAACACGATGTACTGAACGGGGTGAGAATAGCTTGAGCTACCTCATCCCTTTGTGTGTATTTTACCTCAATAAACTTATTTCAATTTCAATTCAAGACTCCATCTTGTTGTTAATTCAGCAATGTAGAGAAATTCAAGTTATCATTCAATATTGTATTTTATAATTTACCTGCTCAAGTATCTAGGTAATTTTCCAGTTGTTTTGGAATGATGATTAAGTCGCCTTCAGCGATCAGTACAAGATTGATCTTTGCTAATCATCCTTCAAGATTAATTTGGCAACTAAGACTAGGTAAGTCTCTCAGCTTGAGAGAGCAGGCTAAGAGTTAGTGCGGTTTGGGGAGCGACGGGAGGAGGTGTCTGCTCCCTAGGGGGAGGTCAAGGTCACGACCTCTGGCCCAGGACTTTGTAGGGGGGTAAGATAAAAGTTTGTACATTAATGTATTGATTAATAACGTCATGCCATTAACCATATTAGGATATTGTCAGCTAGGAAGTGTTCCTTTATAACTAATTTGTGTTTTAATAAATTTGATTATTCATTTATACGTGTTTAGTGAGTTTTCCCTGAATTGTGTTTCATGATTATGCGGATGTTGAGATCCTTGGCTTTAGGCAGTAACACCATGGGTTCCCTGTAAGTTTCTGTATCGATTCAATAGATTCAGTGAGTTACATTTAATAATAAATTCATCCCTCCTATTCATAACTGAGGATCAAAATTCGGAGAATTATGTCTAATTGGCGGTTTCCTGTTTCACTGTCAATTACGGGGGTAATCAGGGTGGAGTGAATCAGTTAGTGGCAGTGGAATGTTCTAAAGTTCTCAAGAATTGCTGCTGGCTGATCAGGTACACTGCCTTGTTGGTGTAGTACTTAGGTAATCAAATACCTAGGTGACAAGGTGTTGACACTACTACAAGGTGTGACACTACAGGTTGCAGTGGTAACTCTGGGGGAACCCTAGAATAGTTAACTAATGGAGTGATAATGGAAAAAAGGAAGCCATTACCACCGGTCCCCGTTACAACTGATTTAACAGTTATATGAGGTGACACAGCTGAGTGACCCATTGTATGGGGGTCATCTACAGATGACTGAACCTTTGTATGGGTTGTTTCAGCTTAATTACCCACTTAATGGGGGAGCATCAGATGACTGATGTGCTGTATGGGGTGCCTAGGCTGACTGACCTGCTGTAAGGGGTGCCTAGGCTGACTGACCCGCTCTAAGGGGTGCCTAGGCTGACTGACCTGCTGTAAGGGGTGCCTAGGCTGACTGACCCGCTGTAAGGGGTGCCTAGGCTGACTGACCTGCTGTAAGGGGTGCCTAGGCTGACTGACCCGCTGTAAGGGGTGCCTAGGCTGACTGACCTGCTGTAAGGGGTGCCTCAGCTGACTGACCCGCTCTAAGGGGTGCCTAGGCTGACTGACCTGATGTAAGGGGTGCCTAGGCTGACTGACCTGCTGTAAGGGGTGCCTAGGCTGACTGACCCGCTGTAAGGGGTGCCTCAGCTGACTGACCCGCTCTAAGGGGTGCCTAGGCTGACTGACCTGCTGTAAGGGGTGCCTAGGCTGACTGACCTGCTGTAAGGGGTGCCTAGGCTGACTGACCCGCTGTAAGGGGTGCCTCAGCTGACTGTCCACCTGTAAGGGGTGCCTAGGCTGACTGACCCGCTGTAAGGGGTGCCTAGGCTGACTGACCTGCTGTAAGGGGTGCCTCAGCTGACTGTCCAGCTGTAAGGGGTGCCTAGGCTGACTGACCCGCTGTAAGGGGTGCCTAGGCTGACTGACCCGCTGTAAGGGGTGCCTAGGCTGACTGACCCGCTGTAAGGGGTGCCTCAGCTGACTGTCCAGCTGTAAGGGGTGCCTAGGCTGACTGACCCGCTGCATGGGGTGCCTCAGCTGACTGTCCAGCTGTAAGGGGTGCCTAGGCTGACTGACCCGCTGCATGGGGTGCCTAGGCTGACTGTCCCGCTGCATGGGGTGCCTCAGCTGACTGACCGGAGAGACTGGAAAAACGTGCAGACTTTTCCACGAGGGGTGTGAGTGCACACCTACACTCTGGCACCATAACAGGAGGCCCGACAGCTGAGTAGAAAGCGCTTGTTATACGTAGTCCTAAGGTACCGGGTTCAATTCCCGGTGGAGGCGGAAGCAAATGGGCAGCGTTTCTTTCACTCTGAAGATTCTGTTCACCAGCAATACATAGGTACCTGGGAATTTGACAGCTGATACGAGCCGCTTCCTGGGGATGTGTAAGAAAAAGGAGGCCTGGTCGAGGACCGGGTCCCGGAGACGCTAAGCCCCGAAATCATCCCAAAATAACCTTAAGATAACCACACTCCACCAATCACAAACAGCAGTCAATCACTCCGCCACCGAGACAGACCATGATGGCGTGATAAAATTATAGTCATAAATACTATCTTTTACTTAACAGAATCTACAGAAAATATTAAAATTATTATCGCAGACAACCTAATTCAAAATTTTTAAATATTTATCTTATATTTATGTTATAATTAATAATTAAAATAATGCTAGTATCGGGGCGAGTGATACAACTCTCATCAGGCGAAACAAGTTACTGTGCTCGCACTTTTGAATGAATGAATGACAAATAGTAATTATAAAACTACCAAGATCGCTAGAGAGAGAAACAGAACAATAAGTTAGCGCTGATGGACATCTTTACGTTTCCACAGATCTCGACTAAGAGGACATGTTGCGGTTGGTATATAAAAGTGGTGGTTTGTTTGGCGGGCGTTCAGTAGCCAGGCGGGGCGGGCGGGGCCTCGCCACGTCTTCGGTGACGCTGGCAGAGAAGACGCTCAACCAGCCGCTCATGTCTACCCAGATGACACGGCCGGGCGGGATCGCCTCCTTCATGCGCCTACCAGTACACACCCACACTCAAGGTGAGCTTCCCTGGCAAGTCTCTCTTGCACCTCCCAGTACACACCCACACTCAAGGTGAGCTTCCCTGGCTAGTTTCTCCTGCACCTCCCAGTACACACCCACACTCAAGGTGAGCTTCTCTGGCAAGTCTCTCTTGCACCTCCCAGTACACACCCACACTCAAGGTGAGCTTCCCTGGCAAGTTTCTCCTGCACCTCCCAGTACACACCCACACTCAAGGTGAGCTTCTCTGGCAAGTCTCTCTTGCACCTCCCAGTACACACCCACACTCAAGGTGAGCTTCCCTGGCAAGTTTCTCCTGCACCTCCCAGTACACACCCACACTCAAGCTGAGATCTCTTCCCTGCGCCACTATTCCTCTTGTGTCATAATGAACACCTCTACTGACTGACCTTCTCTAACTTGCGTTTCAAGTATTAACAAATCAAAAACTTAGAAATCGGTAAATTTGTTCTATGGTGTATTAGCAAAGTTTTATTTTATACACGTCCAAATATTATGACACTTTTTATTGTGACAGAGATTGCTCAATTTATTCACAACATTCCTTCAATAGAACTGAACAGCAATTTTTTCTAAAGTAGTTAGTCGTTTAGACCTCTGTCCTTACCGCACCCTGTACTCGCCAACAAATTCAAAACGCTCGATAATTCAACAGCCAAATTCTTCATTTCTGAATTATATATATATGTCGTACCTAGTAGCCAGAACGCACTTCTCAGCCTACTATGCAAGGCCCGATTTGCCTAATAAGCCAAGTTTTCCTGAATTAATATATTTTCTCAATTTTTTTTCTTATGAAATGATAAAGCTTCCCATTTCATTATGTATGAGGTCAATTTTTTTTAATTGGAGTTAAAATTAACGTAGATATATGACCGAACCTAACCAACCCTACCTAACCTAACCTAACCTATCTTTATAGGTTAGGTTAGGTTAGGTAGCCGAAAAAGTTAGGTTAGGTTAGGTTAGGTTGGTTAGGTAGTCGAAAAACAATTAATTCATGTAAACTTGGCTTATTAGGCAAATCGGGCCTTGCATAGTAGGCTGAGAAGTGCGTTCTGGCTACTAGGTACGACATATATATATATATATATATATATATATATATACATATATATATATATATATATATATATATATATATATATATATATATATATATATATATATATATATATATATATATATATATATATATATTAGTATATTTTGGTAGCAGTCTTTCCTGTAGACATATATTATTAAATATGACCGAAAAAGTAAGATTAATAATTCTAACACGAATTTTCTCAATCTTTCGTACATTTCTTTTACCTGTTGGAGGTAAATCAAAAATCAATTCTCCAAAATTCATTTTTATTTCTAGTCTGACGCGACACGAGCGCGTTTCGTAAAACTCATTACATTTTCATAGACTTTAGTTTACAAATACACAACTGAATAGAACTTACGCATCTCCGATTTTATATCTACATTTTAGTGAGGTGGATGGGGTGAGGTGGCATTAAGAGGGTATTAATTTCATCAACACAAGACAGAACAAGAGGTGGCATTAATAGGGTATTAATTTCATCAACACAAGACAGAACAAGAGGTGGCATTAATAGGGTATTAATTTCATCAACACAAGACAGAACACGAAACAATGGGTATTGAATAGAAGTGTTTGTAGAAAGCCTATTGGTCCATATTTCTTGATGCTTCTATATTGGAGCGGAGTCTTGAGGTGAGTAGAATATAGTTGTGCATTAATTGGCTGTTGATTGCTGGTGTTGACTTCTTGATGTGTAGTGCCTCGCAAACGTCAAGCCGCCTGCTATCGCTGTATCTATCGATGATTTCTGCGTTGTTTACTAGGATTTCTCTGGCGATGGTTTGGTTGTGGGAAGAGATTATATGTTCCTTAATGGAGCCCTGTTGCTTATGCATCGTTAAACGCCTAGAAAGAGATGTTGTTGTCTTGCCTATATACTGGGTTTTTTGGAGCTTACAGTCCCCAAGAGGGCATTTGAAGGCATAGACGACGTTAGTCTCTTTTAATGCGTTCTGTTTTGTGTCTGGAGAGTTTCTCATGAGTAGGCTGGCCGTCTTTCTGGTTTTATAGTAAATCGTCAATTGTATCCTCTGATTTTTGTCTGTAGGGATAACGTTTCTATTAATAATATCTTTCAGGACCCTTTCCTCCGTTTTATGAGCTGTGGAAAAGAAGTTCCTGTAAAATAGTCTAATAGGGGGTATAGGTGTTGTGTTAGTTGTCTCTTCAGAGGTTGCATGGCGTTTCACTTTCCTTCTTATGATGTCTTCGACGAAACCATTGGAGAAGCCGTTGTTGACTAGGACCTGCCTTACCCTACAGAGTTCTTCATTTCTTGAAGAACTCTGTAGGGTAAGAACTCAAGAAGAGTTCTTCTTGAAGAACTCCGAAGAAGTTCGAAGAAGGCCGAAGTGGGTTTCCAGGCTTGTGCGTCTTGACATTTCCATACGCATATCCAGGTTTATATTCCCCAATGATCTTTGGCAGGTGGAGTCCGGATTTCTTGGCGTTCACAGTTTCGATCAGTTTGTTGACCTTTGCTTTTAATTCGGCTGTAGTGTCCTTCGTTACCCTTTGGAACTTAGTTTGGTCAGAGAGTATGATGTTCATTTTCGCCAGATATTCGTCTTTTTTAAGAATGACGTATATTGGCGACTTGTCACCTCTCCTGACAACTATCTCCTTGTTCTCACGAAGGCTTTTAGCTGCCGCTTTAAGCTCGGGGGACAGTATGGTGCTTCTGTAGTTGCCTCGATTCTTTCCTCCTTCTGCAATAAGTTCTGCTTGTAAGGTATCTTTGGTAGTGACCTTCTTTTGTGTCTCGAGGTCGAATATGTCGTCCAACAGAATTTCCAACTCTACTTTCCGGGCCATTTCACTCGGTCTGGACATAACATGACAGTTTATGCCCAGATTTAGGAGAGTGACTTGGTCCTCAGTGAGGTTAATTCCTGCAAGGTTCAGGAAGCCATCTCTTGGTCGTGGAATTGCCATAGGTCCTCCATATAATGTTGTTAGTTTCTTGATAATCCTTGTTTCAGTGCTGAGGTGATGTTGGTCTGTGAGGATGTCGAGGTGTTGTTCAATGCGGGTACGGATACTATGGTCGATGTTGCTATTTCTCCACTCGTTTGTAGCATGAAGTAGTTGCGTTTTGTTGTCTTTGATTTCATTCTCTGCCTTGTATATTTTACAGGAACTTCTTTTCCACAGAAGTGATTTTCGATTTACCTCCAACAGTGAAGCGTAATGTACGAAAGATTGAGAAAATTCGTGTTAGAATTATTAATCTTACTTTTTCGGTCATATTTAATAATATATGTCTACAGGAAAGACTGCTACCAAAATACACTAATATATATATATATATATATATATATATATATATATATATATATATATATATATATATATATATATATATATATATATATATATATATATATATATATATATATATATATATTGTGACGGAAAAGTGTTGGAGTGTTGATGTTCGGCAGGCCTCCAATGGCAGGTGTCAAAGCCTGGTCACACTTAAAACAAAAATATAGACTGCTTGCCTGTTGTCTGTGGTAAGTGAGAGGGAGGAACACGTAAAACACAAAGTATGAACAATGAAACTTTAATATATTTACTTTAAACATATATGAAAATAAAGACAAATCTCGGGGAGTTAAAAATTCAATGAAATAATAAAGAACTGCAAAGACAATGTGAGACACAATAATACAAAAGAGAAAATTTAAAAATGGTGCTGAGAATATCGGCTATGGCTGAAACCTCCCTTCGTATACGAGCTAATGAGCTAGTATATCAGAGAGAGATGTCAACGCTAACAGCACAAGGAATATTCTGAAGTTGATAGCTGGTCAGGCTCAGACGTCGACTCGGGTAGAGGGCGCTTAGGTGCGGTGTGCAGGTGCACGGCTGCCGAGTCACCAACCAAGAGCAGGCAGGCTGGTGAAGGGTAGTTAGCTGGTTTGATGACGAGCCGGCGTGTGGAGGACGTGTGGACTGGGGGGATTTTGGGTACGTTTTGCCTCCTGGTCAAAACGTTTTGTGCTACTGGTGACGTATGTTGAATGTAGCATCTTGAATGTAGCATCTTGAATGTTGATTGTTCATACTTTGTGTTTTGCGTGTCTTCCCTTACGTTACCACAGACAAACAGGCAAGCAGTCTATTTTTTTTTTTTGTAAGTGTGACTAGTGAGATGGCACTTTCCGGGCCATCTCACTCGGAGAAATAGCAACATCGACGAAAGTCTCGGTACCCGCATTGAACAACACCTCGATATCCTCACAGACCGACATCATCTCATCACTGAAACAAGGATTATCAAGAAACTGACAACGTTATATGGAGGACCAATGGCAATTCCACGACCAGGAGATGGCTTCCTGAACCTTGCAGGAATTAACCTCACTGAGGACCAAGTCACTCTCCTAAATCTGAGTATGAACTGTCACGTTATGTCCAGACCGAATGAAATGGCCCGGAAAGTGGAGTTGGAAATTCTGTTGGACGACATATTCGACCTCGAGACACAAAAGGTCACTACCAAAGATACCTTACAAGCAGAACTTATTGCGGAAGGAGGAAAGAATCGAGGCAACTACAGAAGCACCATACTGTCCCCCGAGCTCAAAGCGGCAGCTAAAAGCCTTCGTGAGAACAAGGAGATAGTTGTCAGGAGAGGTGACAAGTCGCCAATATACGTCATTCTTAAAAAAGACGAATATCTGGCGAAAATGAACCTCATACTCTCTGACCAAACTAAATTCCAAAGGGTAACGAAGGACACTACAGCCGAATTGAAAGCAAAGGTCAACAAACTGATCGAAACTGTGAACGCCAAGGAATCCAGACTCCACCTGCCAAAGATTATTGGGGAATATAAACCTGGATATGCGTATGGAAATGTCAAGTCACACAAGCCTGGAAAAATGCTATGCCCAAGATTACTATCCGAGTGCCTGCGGTGGGGTGGTTCAAATAGCCTCGGCTATCACCTCATTTTGTCCGGTCGTGATGGTCAAGTGGATTAAGGCGTCTTGTACATACCAGTTGCGTTGCTCCTGGGAGTATGGGTTCGAGTCACTTCTGGGGTGTGAGTTTTCAGTTGCATATTGTCCTGGGGACCATTCAGGCTTGTTCGCATTTGTGTTCCTCACGTGTGCCCCAAAGAATGAGGTGATTTGGTAAAATGCTATGCCCAAGATTACTATCCGAGTGCCGGCGGTGGGGTGGTTCAAATAGCCTCGGCTATCACCTCATTTTGTCCGGTCGTAATGGTCAAGTGGATTAAGGCGTCTTGTACATACCAGTTGCGTTGCTCCTGGGAGTATTGGTTCGAGTCACTTCTGGGGTGTGAGTTTTCAGTTGCATATTGTCCTGGGGACCATTCAGGCTTGTTCGCATTTGTGTTCCTCACGTGTGCCCCAAAGAATGAGGTGATTTGGTAAAATGCTATGCCCAAGATTGCTATCCGAGTGCCGGCGGTGGGGTGGTTCAAATAGCCTCGGCTATCACCTCATTTTGTCCGGTCGTGATGGTCAAGTGGATTAAGGCGTCTTGTACATACCAGTTGCGTTGCTCCTGGGAGTATGGGTTCGAGTCACTTCTGGGGTGTGAGTTTTCAGTTGCATATTGTCCTGGGGACCATTCAGGCTTGTTCGCATTTGTGTTCCTCACGTGTGCCCCAAAGAATGAGGTGATTTGGTAAAATGCTATGCCCAAGATTACTATCCGAGTGCCGGCGGTGGGGTGGTTCAAATAGCCTCGGCTATCACCTCATTTTGTCCGGTCGTGATGGTCAAGTGGATTAAGGCGTCTTGTACATACCAGTTGCTTTGCTCCTGGGAGTATGGGTTCGAGTCACTTCTGGGGTGTGAGTTTTCAGTTGCATATTGTCCTGGGGACCATTCAGGCTTGTTCGCATTTGTGTTCCTCACATGTGCCCCAAAGAATGAGGTGATTTGGTAAAATGCTATGCCCAAGATTACTATCCGAGTGCCGGCGGTGGGGTGGTTCAAATAGCCTCGGCTATCACCTCATTTTGTCCGGTCGTGATGGTCAAGTGGATTAAGGCGTCTTGTACATACCAGTTGCGTTGCTCCTGGGAGTATGGGTTCGAGTCACTTCTGGGGTGTGAGTTTTCAGTTGCATATTGTCCTGGGGACCATTCAGGCTTCTTCGCATATATATATATATATATATATATATATATATATATATATATATATATATATATATATATATATATATATATATATATATATATATATAGGGACCCATAGCCTCGGAGAAGAAAATAAAGAGTACTCAGAGAAGACCTTGTGGATCCTCACTGTACACTTTGATATTTTCTTCTCCTACCACCCCCTATTCTTTTGATATGTATGTATATATATGTAACTTGATTTGAAAATATCATTGCTCAAAAAGGGTTAGAACATTGGTTACATGCAGGGTACACCGCTGCTTGTCACAAGTTGTAGAGCCCCTCCAGCTCCTCAGATGGCGGGCAGGAACCATGGATACAGTGAGCATTTTCTCTCTGGATCGCCACACTAAGGCGCTGAAAGAGAAAATTGGCAGCTCTAGGGTCTCTAGTTGTTTCAATTAGTTTGGACCCCAGCTCCTTCAAAAAAAAACAGCAGCACTTTTACCCGAGGCACCAAGTGTCTCTGAGGCAATTTGGACAAAATTGTATTGATGATCAAGGTCTCTGTATTTACATGACTTGGCTGCTTCCCGGTGATTGGCAGCACGGCCTGCCTATGCAGCACTGAAGTCAACATAGGTGCTGGCTAAAGTTGAAACGCAAGTGTAGTCTCACACCAATTGTCTATCATTCTTCCAGGGGTTCACCATGATCCCATCTGGGCAACCCACAGCTTCATCAGAGTTGCGGGGCATTAGGTAACGGGTCTCTCTCTCTGCTGGACAACCAGCTGTGGTAAGGCTTCTCTTAATAATGACTTTAACCTCGCCGTGTCTTGCATGTCATCCTCCTGTCCTTTGGCAGAGAAGGCCATGCCGTCCGTACCTGTCGGCCTCTGCCTCGCTTCAATACACCTGCATTCAGTATGGATTGGGGCAGCGAAGCTTTACGCTGCCACAGCAATTCGGAGGGCCTGTGGAGTTAGACGAGCGCCGGTTGCTGACATTGGGGTTGCTAATAGGAAGTCATCTGAACTCATCGGAGCGATCCCAGTTGGATTGCTTATAGGCTTCAGAAGGCGGTGGTTGGGGGGGCTGGTCCTGCGAGAAAGAACCATTTGGTGGTGCAGTCTGTAAAGCTGGGATCATGTATCCCTGCCCATTGAATTAGGTGCTCAGGTAGGATTTCCTTCACCAAGTTGTCGGACACCATTGAAGAGGATGGCCTGTTTCCACTGTGAGTCGCTGAGAGAAAGGTTAAGGGCTTTTTCTAGCATTGATTTCAGCAAGCTGTCGTATTCTTCTAATTTAATATTACTGAAAGATGGCGAACATCTAAGAAAGTATGTCAGCCTGGGAAGGGACAAGCATCTGGGGATGAGGTAGAGTGCATCTTGAGCATCGATGTCTTCAGTCCTCTAGTTCATCCTCTTCAAGTCAATGATCTTCTTTCTAAGGACCTCGTTGATGGCATTCCCTCCAAGAGGGGCACCTAGGAGTGTGCTGTCCTCAGAGTTGGTTACATGAATATCAGGCAAAACAACCTTTATTCACTCTATTATATGCTGGTTGGTGGAGGTCATTTCGCACTTGGAAGAGTTCAAGGTGAGGCCTAAACTTGCTGGATTGACACTCCTTACCACAGAGTTTATTCAAAGTAATGTCTTTAATGAACCTATGTTTCCGTTACCTAAAACGTGTTGCAAACATGTTGGGATGGGGTATGTAAATTGTCGAGACGAGTATAAAACGTGTCGGGATGGATATAAAACGAGTGGGGACAGGTATAACACAGGTAAAAAACGTGCCATGACGGGTAATAACCATGTCAAGACGGGTATAACATGTGTTAGAACCGGTATAAAATTTGTCTATATTGGTATAAAACTTGTTGGTATGGGTTTAAAACGTGTCAGGATGGGTATATAATGTGCTTGGATGGGTATATGTGTCGGGACGGGAATTAAAAGTGTCTGAACGAGTAGAGAACGTGTTGGGACAGGTATAAAATGTGAATGGTGTTGCAGGTTTGGACGCGTGCTTCGTGGGCGTGCCACTGGACACAGGAAGTAGCAACAAGAGCGGCGCGCGCTTCGGTCCCCGCCAGATGCGCTGCGAGTCTCCCATGCGGCCCTTCAACCAGGCCACGGGGGCCAGCCCCTTCACCAGCCTCAATGTGGCCGACCTCGGCGACGTCTGGGTCAACATTTTCAAGTAACCAACGTGTCATCATCCATGACTCATGTTGTGTCATTCGCTTTATCTCATGTTATGCCATCCGCTCTGACTCATGCTGAGTCATATGCTCTGACTCTTGTATTAACCTAGTTGTGCTTGCGGGGGTTGAGTTTTGCTCTTTCGGCCCGCGTCTCAACTGTCAATCAACTATTACTAACTACTAACTAACTATATAATTTTACACACAAACACACACACACACACACACATACAACCAAGAAACTGCTCCATAACAGCTGTCTAACTCCCAAATACCTATTTAATGCTAGGTAACAGGGGCATTCAGAGTGAAAGAAACTTGGCCAATTTGTTTCTGCCTCGACCGGGAATCAAAGCCGGGCCACAGAATTACGAGTCCTGCACGCTGTCCACTCAGCTACCAGACCCCCATCTACTGGTGTGTCATCCACTCTGACTTATGTTGTGCCATCTGCTCTTGACTCATGTTGTGTCATGTGCTGTGACTCATGTTGTGTCATGTGCTGTGACTCATGTTGTGTCATGCTGTGACTCATGTTGTGTCATGTGCTGTGACTCATGTTGTGTCATGTGCTGTGACTCATGTTGTGTCATGTGCTGTGACTCATGTTGTGTCATGTGCTGTGACTCATGTTGTGTCATGTGCTGTGACTCATGTTGTGTCATGTGCTGTGACTCATGTTGTCATGCTGTGACTCATGTTGTGTCATGTGTTGTGACTCATGTTGTGTCATGTGCTGTGACTCATGTTGTGTCATGTGCTGTGACTCATGTTGTGTCATGCTGTGACTCATGTTGTGTCATGTGCTGTGACTCATGTTGTGTCATGTGCTGTGACTCATGTTGTGTCATGCTGTGACTCATGTTGTGTCATGTGCTGTGACTCATGTTGTGTCATGTGCTGTGACTCATGTTGTGTCATGTGCTGTGACTCATGTTGTGTCATGTGCTGTGACTCATGTTGTGTCATGTGCTGTGACTCATGTTGTGTCATGTGCTGTGACTCATGTTGTGTCATGCTGTGACATATGAAACAACCAGACAGCCTTTGCTTGCAAGCCTCTGATACAGTACCACACAAGAGGCTAGTGAAAAAGCTGGAGATGCAGGCTGGAGTGAAAGGAAAGGTACTCCATTGGATAAGGGAGTACCTAAGCAACAGAAGACAACGAGTCAGTGTGAGGGGTGAGGTCTCAGATTGGCGAGACGTTACGAGTGGAGTCCCGCAGGGGTCAGTCCTTGGACCTATACTGTTTCTGATATATGTAAATGATCTCCCAGAGGGTATAGACTTGTTTCTCTCAATGTTTGCTGATGGTGCAAAAATTATGAGGAGGATTGAAACAGAGGATGATAGTAGGAGACTACAAGATGGCCTAGACAGACTGAATGAATGGTCCAACAAATGGCTGCTAAAGTTCAACCCGAGTAAATGCAAAGTAATGAAACAAGGCGGTGGAAACAGGAGGTCGGACACAGGATACAGAATAGGAGATGAAGTACTTGAAGAAACGGACACAGAGAAAGATCTAGGAGTTGACATCACACCAAACTTGTCTCCTGGAGCCCACATAAAAATAATTACGTCTGCGGCATATGCTAGGCTGAGTAACATTAGAACAGCCTTCAGGAACCTGTGTAAGGAATCATTCTTGTATACCACATATGTAAGACCAATCCTGGAGTATGCGGCCCCAGCATGGAGCCCGTACCTTGTCAAGCACAAGACGAGCTGGAAAAAGTTCAAAGGTATGCCACTAGACTAGTCCCAGAACTAAGAGGCATGAGTTACGAGGAAAGGCTACGGGAACTGCACCTTACGGCATTGGATGACAGAAGAGTGAGGGGAGACGTGATCACTAACTACAAAATCCTAGACAGGGTAGACAAGGATAAACTATTCAACACTGGTGGTACGAGAACAAGGGGACACAGGTGGAAACTGAGTACCCAAATGAGCCACTGGGACGTTAGAAAGAACTTTTTCAGTGTCACCAGGCATCCTTTTTGTTACACATCCCCAGGAAGCAGCCCGTAGCAGCTGTCTAACTCCCAGGTACCATTTACTGCTAGGTGAACAGGTGCATCAGGGTGAAAGAAACGCTGGCTTTTTGTTTCGGCCTCCACCTTGGATCGTAACCGGACCCTTAAGACTACGAGTCCCGAGCGCTGTCCACTCAGCTGTCAGGCCCCTTCCTGACCTTGTATCAAGTGTTGTGATTCACCTTGTATCAATGTTGTAATTTACCTAGTATCAATGCTGTAGTTTACCTAGTATCAATGCTGTAATTTACCTAGTATCAATGCTGTAATTTACCTAGTATCAATGCTGTAATTTACCTTATATCAATACTGTGATTCACCTTGTATCAATGCTGAGATTCACCTTTTATCAATGCTGTAATTTACCTATAATCACTGCTGTAGTTTACCTAGTATCAATGCTGTAATTTACCTTATATCAATACTGTGATTCACCTTGTATCAATGCTGAGATTCACCTTGTATCAATGCTGAGATTCACCTTGTATCAATGCTGAGATTCACCTTGTATCAATGCTGAGATTCACCTTGTATCAATGCTGAGATTCACCTTGTATCAATGCTGAGATTCACCTTGTATCAACACTGTGATTCACCTTGTATCAATACTGTGATTCACCTTGTATCAAGGCTGAGATTCACCTTGTATCAACACTGTGGTTCACCTTGTATCAATACTGTGATTCACCTTGTATCAATGCTGAAATTCACCTTGTATCAGTGTTGTGATCGATCTTGCATGAAGTGTTGTGATTCTCCTTGAATCAAATATTGTGATTTACCTTGTATCAAGTGTTGTGGATCACCATGTATCAAGTGTTGTGGATCACCATGTATCAAGTGTTGTGGATCACCATGTATCAATTGTTGTGTTTCATCTTGTATCAAGTGTTGTGGATCACCACGTATCAAGTGCTGTGGTTCACTTTGTATTACGTTTTGTGTTTCACTTTGTATCAAGTATTGTGATTCACCGTGTATTAATGCTGTGATTCACCATGTATCAGTGTTGTAATTTTCCTTGAATGAAATGCTGTAATTCTCCTTGTATGAAGTGTTGTGATTTACCTTGTATGAATGCTGTGATTCACCTTGCATCAAGTGTTGTGTTTCACATTATATCAGTGCTTTGATTCACTTGTAACAAGTTTTGAGATTCACCTTGAATAAATGCATTGATTTACCTCAAAGCAGTGTTGTGATTCACTTTGTGTCAAGTGTTGTGAGTCACCTTGTATAGAGTGCCTTTACTCGCCATGCACTAGTGCTGTGATTCACCTTGTATGATTCATCGTCAATTAGTGTTGTTATTCACTATGCATCAAGTGTTGATACATGTTGTGATTCACCATGTATCAACTGTTGATATATGTTGTGATTCACCATGTATCAACTGTTGATATATGTTGTGATTCACCATGTATCAACTGTTGATATACGTTGTGATTCACCATGAATCAAGTGATCTGATTTCCCATGTATCAAGTGTTGTGTTTCACCGCGTGGACAATATTGTGATTCATCTTGTATCAATTGTTGTGATACACCTTGAATCAGGTGTTGATAATTGTCGTGATTCATAATATATCAACTCATGTGATTCACAATGTATGAAGGGTTGTGATTCACCTTGTATGAAGTGTTGTATTTCACTATGTATCAAATGATATGATTTACGTTGTATCAGTGCTCTGATTCAACATGTATCAGTGCTCTGATTGTCCTTGTATTAGGGTTGTGATTTATATTGTATCAGTACTGAGATTTATGTTGTATTAGTGCTGAGATTCTCCTTTGAATCACTGCTGTGATTTATATTGTATCAGTGCTGATATTTATATTGTATTAGTGTTGTGATCCACCTTGTATTACTGTATTACTGATGTGATTCACCTTGAACTATTGCTGTGATTCACATTATATTGTGCTGTGATTTACCTTGTATTACAGCTGTGATTCACCTTGTATTTTGCTGTGATTCACTTTGTATTAGTACTGTGATTCACCTTATAATAGCAGAGTGATTCACTTTGTATTTGTACTGTGATTCACCTTGTATTAGTGCCGTGATTCAAGTGGTATAAGGTAAGCGCTTACTATGTATCAAGTGTTGTGATTCACCTTGTATCAGTGCTGTGATTCACCTTGTATCAGTGCTGTGCTTCACCTTGTATCAGTGCTGTGCTTCACCTTGTATCAGTGCTGTGCTTCACCCTGTATCAGTGCTGTGCTTCACCTTGTATCAGTGCTGTGCTTCACCTTGTATCAGTGCTGTGCTTCACCTTGTATCAGTGCTGTGCTTCATCTTGTATCAGTGCTGTGCTTCACCTCTTGTATCAGTGCTGTGCTTCACCTTGTATCAGTGCTGTGCTTCACCTGTATCAGTGCTGTGCTTCATCAGTGCTGTGCTTCACCTTGTATCAGTGCTGTGCTTCACCTTGTATCAGTGCTGTGCAACACCTTGTATCAGTGATGTGCTTCACCCTGTATCAGTGCTGTGCTTCCCCCTGTATCAGTGATGTGCTTCACCCTGTATCAGTGCTGTGCTTCACCTTGTATCAGTGCTGTGCTTCACCTTGTATCAGTGATGTGCTTCACCCTGTATCAGTGCTGTGCTTCACCATGTATCAGTGCTGTGCTTCACCCTGTATCAGTGATGTGCTTCACCCTGTATCAGTGCTGTGCTTCACCTTGTATCAGTGCTGTGCTTCACCTTGTATCAGTGCTGTGCTTCACCTTGTATCAGTGCTGTGCTTCACCTTGTATCAGTGCTGTGCTTCACCTTGTATCAGTGCTGTGCTTCACCTTGTATCAGTGCTGTGCTTCACCGTGTATCAGTGCTGTGCTTCACCTTGTATCAGTGCTGTGCTTCACCTTGTATCAGTGCTGTGCTTCACCTTGTATCAGTGCTGTGCTTCACCTTGTATCAGTGCTGTGCTTCACCTTGTATCAGTGCTG